CGTTTCTTTAGGCTCAGTGGTGAACTTCATCAACATGACTTCATTTTCTTCTGTGACCCCTCTTAACGGATTCTGATGATGATACTCCCTTCGTGGGGGATTGTCCTGGGCTGGTGGTGCCTCTTGGGGACGGTGGGCATGAATAAGATTCAATAGATCTTCATTTTGTTAGAGGAGGCGATTGTTGGTCTAACGTAGGGCCTCGAGTTTGTTGTTTGGAGGAGGATCCACCATTTGCAAATTGACTTCTAGGTTTGGCAAAGGATTCATGGGAATTATGTATTGTCCCCCTCAGAAGTGACTTCCTACTGGTTTTGTAAACGTAAAGGATTCGCCTGATTTTTGCTTATGTTACACGAAGAGACCATCAATTACTAAATAGATCAGTAGAGTTTAAACAAGAATCGAAAATAATTGTTCCCATAGATGATGCCAACTAATGGTGTGCTCAACACAGCTAAACACAGAAGAGCTACTTGGGAATCACTACAGTATCTTCTCAGAGCTTCTAGGCCCTCGGGGGTTAGATTACTAATTCAATCTATGACATCCCAAAATATGGGGCTCCGTTGATTAGCCATCAACCCGTGGAATACCCGTGGATACTGAGTAACTCGGTATCACACCACTATGCCCCATTTATTGAGGTCCATAATTTAACAAAACTTTGGGCAAAGTCTCCTTTGTACAGAAAGCTCTACCCAAAACACAACTTGTGCGCTATGCAATCACACGACCCATCCGAAGTCTAATATACAACATTGACCACACCGGGTCCATTTATCCATATTTATATAACAACATTTAATTACATGACCCATCCGAGATCTAATATACATAAATACATACTCCCACATCATGAATTTATGCATTAAACATAGTTAATACAAATTCAAAATTATAATTCTTTTACATACATTACATGCTCAAAAACTAACTTTGCAAAAGTTTTACAAAAAAAGAACTAAAAGTCACAAGCCGACCTTTCTTCGTCACTAGGGCCCTGAATGAGCACTGTCCAACGGCGTGTATCCCCCACCTGAAATATTTTCCCGTATAGGGTGAGCTACGCTCAATAGAGTATCTCCTATAGAGGCTACTCCTCAATCTAGATGCATATGAAATGTTCACAATACAACCAATCAATAATTCAAATATTCCAATCAAGAATATACATCCAATGATAGGAATTTTATGTAACGCTATGAAATGAGATGAGACTCACTCATGCACTTTAACCCGAGTCCTCACCGACTCCCACAACACAATGCAATAAAAATATGTAAAACATTTGTCATTAATGAAATACATCAAATGGTCGTTTTTGAAATACAAGTCATTGCGTTTATAAAATCAATTCATTGTTGGATGTTTCCTATCGAATGAATACTTTATAAAATAAGTACACTTTTTTAGAATTTCACCTCAGAGGAGTGTATGAACCAAGTATTTTATAAACAAAATCATGTGTCTTTGTTGGGTAACGGAGTTTTGGAACCGCACCGCGGGTTCCGCAAATCAATACACTTTTCTGAAATTTTACTTCAGGGGAGTGTATGAACCAAGTAGTCGGGTCTTGCACCTGAGGGAGAGTCTAGCTCTTCTTGCTATAACCAACACAAGTTTTTCATGTATGCAACCGTGCGATTCAGTAGGATATTCAACCCCACTTTCTTGAGCCCACTCATCAAACACCAAGTATGGTGATTGATTCAACCATGCATCACACACCCATACTCATGGCCATGTATATATTTTTTTCGTGTAAATGCAATGTGATGCACAATTGCTCAATCAATGTCATGCTCAATGTAATGGATGTCAATGAGCCAAATTTAAACCACACATCTCAACATGTGTCACGACAATTTATATCACATGTATAAAACCACCAAAATTCATTATCATGTCAATACATCAAATAACATAAACCCAACACATATCTCAAGCATAACATTACACAATCTCATGCCAATCACTCTCAATCACAAGGCATAATATATTAACATATAGCATGCCCACAAAATCACTTTTTCATAGAATTACCAAGTAACTCTCACATATCAAAATCAAACTAGAAGTTGAACACACACACACACGTACTGATTTATGAGTTAAAATCACTTACTTTACTACATATTAAAGCACACATAATTTTCATCACCAAAAAATTACACAAGTACTTCCACATATCAAATTCAAGTTAGAAATTAAACACACATACACACACACTAATTTATGAGTTAAACACACTCACTTTACTACATATTTTCACGTATGTCATGACAATTTATATATTATACATATAATTACCACCTTTTGTCACAATGTTAAGAAATCAACATTTTATACTTAACAACCAAACATAAGCATGTTATTACATAATCTATGTCAATATAACCACTTTATTTCATATAGGCATTTAAGCAAACACCTTCAAGACATCATATCATGTAATCACATAAAATGCCCAAATTTATCACATAACTAAAAAAAAATCAGAATAAATGATTTTCAAATACCCAATTATCAAAACATTCAAAAAATCACAAACTAACAATTTCTAATTACCAATTCATACTAGAATTGAGCCTAAGTGCTAAAATACACAAAATATCTCACACATTTTCTATGGACACCATAGTTTAGAAATAAATCAAAGTTGGAGGGAACCATACCTCTTGAAGCGTAAAACGAATGATAGAACCTTCAAGAATACAAACACCAACTTCTAAGTCTTGATTTTCCAAATTCTCATTTTTGGATCTTTGGTGCAATCCTTCATTTTTGGTGTGGTTGCGTAGCCCTCGTCGAGGAAATCAACTTTAACTCTTGGTCCGAAGGATTCCGACCGACGGAACTTCGAAAATCGTCAAGAAAAAACTTGTAGATCTTTGCTTTATTCTCTTTTGCTCCCTCTTAGCCCAACGTTCAGACCAGCAGAGAAAATCAATGGGAAAATCAGATTTTTCCATCTATTTATAGTCCCAAAACCCTTGGCTCACAATACGCCACACGCTCCTATTTTCGGGTCTATTTTCGCTCTAAAATGATAAAATTTTGTACCGGATTAAACTCAAAATATTTTATATAAAATTTATTTAAAATATTTTCTAAATTTCAAAATTTTTATAAAAATTTCGTTTTTAGGGGTCACTGGACACCAATCACCTCGAAAAACGTGAAAAAATTCGACTATCTCAAAATTCGACAAAATTTATCTGGGTAACTAGATTTTGCGAAATGAATCCAACGGTGAAGTCCGTTTCGTCGTCCGAGCTCTAGAAAATTTCAGGTTTGCAACCCGTACCGTAGTGATAAATTACCGTTTTGCCCTTTTTCATAACAAGTTCAAATTTTCCTAGGTTTTACACAATCAAACAAAGAATGGATGGACATAGGGTCTATAGTGATTCACCAGTTCGAAAGTTTTGTTATTCTACTCTAATAGAGTCTCGTGCTCTTGAAAAATTGTCTATTAATTGGGGAAAAATATTACACTGGATAATTGTCCAGATAATTGATTGATTACAAATGTGAGGGAGTTGATTCCTATTTATAACGTATAGTTGCTTCATGTGATTGTCTTGCGTGATCTCTGCGATCCTTCCGTAACTGATGTTATTCTAGTGTGATTAGCGTGATTCACCTCGAGTCGGTTTCTGAACCATATGTCAGAATATTTGGGTGTTATGAGTTACATTCCCTAGATGTGATGTGACCTTTTGTAGGGTACTAGTTGTTGTGGTCATCGCGTACACGAGGGTCTCGTTGTTGAAAATTCCCGACTTGCGCACCTCGAGCTAGTGATCATGAGTTGCGAGGTCTGAGCTGGATGGTTCTAGTTTAACCTTAGCTATTTTTAGTATCATAAAAAAAACAGATCCAAAAATATTATAGTGATCGAAAAATCAAGGCTTATCCAAGTTCTATAATATAAACATGTGTCCAAAGTGGTTGACCAATGAAAATGGAAGTTATAATTGTCTAGAACGTTCTTCTAATTATGGCATAATCGGAGATAAGTTGCCTATAAAATATTTGTAATGCTTTAGGACTCAAGTGCACACTATTTTTCCAGTGAATTGCTCATCATTTTTAAATTCTTACTATCAAAGTATTGAGATTCTTTTTATTATACTTTTTTTTTTAATTTTTTTTTGACATATCATTAATCATGTATTTAAGTAAAATTCATTGTATATAAGTAAGTCTTTCTCTCGTTTATGATAAATAATGTCCAAAAAAAATCAAAAAAAAAATATAATTGAGAAAATCTCAATCCGAAGAGAATGAGCTCTTCACACTATGCCCACGATCTACCAAAGATGCTCCGCGAATTTGAGAGGTGCCATGTTTCCATTAGGTATGACAAGTTGGGCTGGGCTTTTTGGCGATCTCTCTAAAACAACACGAGCAAAAAGAAGGTTCGAGAAGCCCCCATATTATATTTCGTAATTACAACAACAGCTTCTATAAACATTTTGTTTCTAAATCTAATAATTTGTCGGTCACAGAAAAGCCCTCCGAGTCTTTGGTCTCTCGCATCGTGTCCAAACCTGCGGTGCCCCCGGAATCTTCCGAAATAAGAGGAACATCTCTCTCCTGCAGATCGAAAAAAAAAATCCTCTCTCCCCCTCTCTCCCACAGACCCATAATAAGTAACTCTCCATTCCTTTTCGTCTCTTTCGTTGCATAATGGCTCATTACCCAGTCAATCAATCAATTTTCTTGCATTTATTCATGTTTTAATTGTAATATTTCTGGGGTTTTTGATTTGTGTTATATGGTCACTCATTACCAAGTCAATCAATTATTTTTGTTGGTTTTATTCACCTCTCTTAATCTAAAATTACATATTGCTTAATTCTAAGAGTTTTTCACCTGCAACTTTTCTGGGTTTTTTAATTGTAAAATTTCTGGGTTTTTTTTTTTTTTGGATTTGTGTGGGATAAGATAACAGCAAGTAATACATAGTAAAGGGTGTAGAAGAGAGAGAAATGGAAGGTGGTGCTGCTTCAGAGAAACAGAATGCAGCAGGGGAATCAACAACTGCATCGTACACATATTGGGTGAGAGAGGTCACCCAAGATGCTGCCCCTCTTCCAGTTCCTCGGAAGCTAACTCCTCAGGATCTTTCCAGCCATTCCCAGTCTACTAACCACCTCGGTTCTGCCTGGAATAGGGTATCTCTTAACTTCCTCTCTCTAGCTCTTGTATTTTTAAACAAAAAAATTCTTACCACTTACGAAATTTTTTTGGAAAAAAAATTGTATTTGGATTTATGTATGTCATTGTTTCATTATAGGATAGCCTTTTCTTCCGTTAGAGTGTCCTTTGGGTAGAAGAAAACGGCATGCTTTCCAAAATCTCATTTGAATGTGCCTAGTTAACTTCATCATTAAGTATATGTAAAAAGATGGGTTTAAGGTAGATCTATGATGAACGTCTACACATTTTTTTTAACCATATTAATATGCCTATTTATAATTCTTTTCGTTTCTAAGACCGACCATATTATATCTACTATCTCTAGCAACTTGGTCACGTGTCTTCTTCATATCTAAAGAACCATGTGATTAACTTTTTTCCTTTTTAAGTAGGTACATTGCTTCCATGGTTGACATGCATATATCAAGTTTGGTTTTCAAATACCATTGTTCAAATACAACTTTGAAAGTCTCTTAGTTTTGCACAAATGTGCTTTTTGCATTTATCATGAATTTTTTTAACCGAAATGTATCGTGCAATTTCTTGTAGTTATTGCAATCTTATCAAATGGTAAACATATTATGATATTCCATAAACATTTCTAAATCTCTGTAAGTAGCCATAAGGTGCTAAATCTTTTCCTGTCTTTTTTTTTACTATCATAGTATTTCTTTTGAACATTCTAATTGGCTGAAAATATTTATTTGTCTAATCTACCAAGCCTATGGTTAATATGTCAAGTATCTAAACTTGTATGATTTACATTTAACAAGTTTCCAAATTAATTTTATATATTTCTGGAATGTTAATATCTTTTATTCTTTTAAATTCCACCAGCTATGATTTTGATCATATTTTGATGCGTATATCTCGAAGCATTGTCCTATGTGATATGATCCAACTCTTTCTTGGAGTAACCCTACAATGCATAGATAAATGATCTATTTTTTTTACTTAGAAAAAATTCTATAGGGCTACTGTTTATCCCATTGTTGTGAGGAGTGCGTTGACGCTAGCCCAGGTCCGAGATAAGTTGAGGCGCACTTGAAGCGCCTTAATGAGCTTGAGGTTAGTCTATTTCGTAGTGGCGTAATCAAGGTACATGAGGTGCTTGCTTTGGGTACATGAGGTGCTTGCTTTGGGCTTAAAGTCGCATGAGGCGTGATTTTTTTTCCCAGTGATATGTGTAGGGCCCTTGATATGTTGATGGTCATCGGAGTTTTTATATGCATAACATTAGATTTTATATTTAAATATAAATATCAAATTGTACCCCTAAAATTTATGAATCTTTATAGAATTTGTCTAATCTAACTCAGAGGTATAAATATCTAGGTTGGAATTGGTTAAGGTCCTTAAGGATGGTATAAGTCTTAAATTAGTGGTTTTTTGTAAGATATTGCTAAAATTTATTGTAATATTCCAGTATTTGATGCTAAATGTTGATTAATTTTGACAGAATTTTTCTTGACCTTGTTTTCTGTTGCTGAAATTAGCTAAAATGAGTTGTATATGATGTATTTGTTTGCACTTTGCAATTAGTTTTTGACAGAATATTATTGACATCTGCTGTTGAAACTGTATATTTTATATTTTGTTGATATTTCTAGATTTGGTTGCATTCAGTTGCATTTTCAGTATAATTTATATATACATAGATTATCTACAACATATTCCTCTCTTCGATGAATCCTATGCTCCGGCTCACTCCCCAAGTGACAGTGGTGCCTCTGCGTACTTTTTGTCCTAACAACACTGATTTATCCATTTTTACATGTTACTAAATGTTGATATCTGTTTTTCAAATGTGTTTGATATTGAGACCGTATTTTTGTTAAGTAAGAAACATGACTTCATTAATAATAAAACATAAATATCAGGCGAGGAATCTAATTGTTAGGACAATAGAGCGGCTAACAAACATAAATTACAAGAATCTTCAAACAATATTAACCCTTAATCACGCACCATACTCCAATTTTGATGAATAACATGGAAAGAGAGATTCAAAAATTCTTTAGTGACCGAAGCCCGTTGAGACACGAGGAATTTCACTCTTATTCCATAAAGATTCCCAACACTCATTTTTACCCTCAAAGATGACCTAATTATCCTTCCATACTACCCTTCTTTTACGTTGACTAAAGATAAAGTTGATGGGTTTGATATCAATGAAGTTTGTTACGGATTGGAGGACTTCTTTTGCAAAAGTGGGGCAGGTAGACGAGATCGGTAGTGATGATTATGAATACGCAGAGGATGACTCTGGAATGGCTGAAACTCTGATTGAGGTAGGTAATCCTTTTGATGAGAGTGAAGCTGGATCCAATGCAAAAGAACAGTCTAAACGTATTTCCAGTCTGGGGCTTTCTTTGTTAATTGCTTTTCTCCTTCTTTTACACACTGCTTGCATGAAAATCAACTTAGATTTAGGTCGTCAAATCAGGTGTAATAAAGGTGATATCTCTGGGAGGTTTTTTTTTCCTTTTCAGTCTTCTTTGCAATCTTATGACCTTGAGGGTGAATTTCTAGTGGATTATTTATGATTTGGGATTTGATAATTCACAGGGGAGGAACTCTGAAATTGGGTTGGGGAAGAAATTGTTATCTTCAATGATAAAATAGCCACTGAAGACAGATTGGATGATGGACATCTAGGAGCTGCTTGAGTTGAGTTAATTCATAAGGGTAGCCACAATATGCTTTCAAGAAATGAGGAGGGATAGTTGGTGATTACTTGTTTGATGAAGCTAGTACGGTTTTATTGAAGGATTTTTTTGGGCTACAATTGAGTTTAAGCTACTTGTTTGCCAGTATATGGAATGGTCTATTAGGGAATTCAATGCTGCCCAAATGTTTAAGGACTGATCTAAAGCTATTGTGGAAATCTTCTCTTAATCCAGTATATGGAATGGTCTATTAGGGAATTCAATGCTGCCCAAATGTTTAAGGACTGATCTAAAGCTATTGTGGAAATCTTCTCTTAATCAAGTAAGAGTTGAAGTTGAGCAGATGAAGTTTTACCTAATGTAAGAAAGCTAGTCAAATAACCCTTTAGTGCTTGAAGTAGTTTTTCTGTCCTGTAATTGTCTTTCTTTCCTTATTCTAGTACTTTTTTGCATGCATACTTAGGTGCATTAGCTAAACCAGGCTTGCTCTAGCTCCTATGTTCTGCTAGTCCAATAATTTTAAGAAGAATCAAGAGGATTGAATTGTGCCTCACTATTGCCATCTAAATATCTAATCAATGTGCATTTATGAACATTTGAAGGTGGATATAATGTTCTCTATGTATGCTTTGTGATTGTATGTGACTTGAATTGTGCCTTACTATTGCCATCTAAATATCTAATCAATGTGCATTTATGAACATTTGAAGGTGGATATAATGTTCTCTATGTATGCTTTGTGATTGTATGTGACTTGTTGCAAATTATCTATTTTAATAAAATTTCAAGTCATTGCATTGACTGTGTTGTATGTTCAAACAGGCTGGAACTTGGGAGGAGAAGAATTTAAACAAATGGGCGAGTGACAGAATTAAGGTTTGTATGTTGGAATAATAGTCAAGTATTTTTTTATTACGATAAGATTTTTCAGGTGGTTTTTGTGTTTATCCTTTTCTCATATCAAGGATAAAATAGTTGATGAACTCGCTTAGTGGTTACATGGAGTTCAACTGTTCATGTAGCTTAAATCTTTGTGCACTGTTTGGGTAAATATTGAAAGTGTGCTGCTTGATTTTATTCCTTCAGACATTGTTGTTTGTGGCTGTAATGTTACTATATGGTCCAAAAGATATAGAATATTCAGGCATATTCGTGAAACTATCTATGTATATGCCTGATTGTTTTCTATGTTTCTTTCTGAGATTAGTCTTGAATCACAGGAGTTGCTTCAATCTGTGGATTCCTTGGAGTTTTCGGGTGGCAGAGCTGATATTACAGAAGTATCGAAATGTGTGGGCGATGTAAGTGCTTGTGAAAGTGTTGATATCTCTCATGACTCCATATCGGGCTTCTAAACCTCTTATGCATGAATAACATTTGTGGCATTGTCTAGTTTTTTCTTGTCTCCTATTCTTTCAAAGTTTGTTTGCCAGCACTCCCCAGGGTTTCATTGTTTCGAGTGCTCAATTGCACAGGATATTGTTGGAGACAAGAGAAAGAGGTGAATTGGTATGAAATATAAAAAGTATTGAAATGCTCTGGGACACCTCTGCCCGCCAAAAATATAGGGCCGAAATTATGTCTAGTGAAGTTAATAAGTTGTTAAATTATGAGATATTTGCTGTAGGTATCTTACATTAAAAGACTGCATCAGCTTTGTACTGCATGAAGATTGTTGTTTGTAATCATGCTTGTTTTTGTCGAAGCACCTTGTACTTAGTGTTTGTGGCAATCTATGTATCGATTTTTTTACATGACTTTCAGGGATTCATTAATTGTGACGTTTATTAATTGTGTACTCCTTACTTGGTGAAGGCTTTACAAGGGTTCAAGCGCCCTTCCCCTCCTCCCCCTCCCCAAAAAAAAAAAAAAAAGTTAAAAAAAAAATAATAATAATTGTGTCGCACCATTGAGCTTGGTGCTGGATCATGTGATTGATGTCTGCACGGCTATTGCTGTGGTGCAACAGAATGGGCCTTGTCCCCAGTATATAGACTGCCTCCTCCTTGTTAGGACTCATGAATTTATGTAGTAATCATATAAGACATTAGACTACTTTTGAGGATTAAGATTTTTGTGTGTGTGTGTGTGTGTGTGAGAGAGAGAGAGAGAGAGAGAGAGAGAGTCCCCTCAATCAGATATACGTCCCTTTTTTGTTTGGGACAGTTTGTTTTCAGTGGGATATTTCTGGTTTAATCATTTTCATCTCTTTTTGATAGTATTTGAATGTGATGTGCAGGCATTCTTGGTGACTGTACGGAAAAAGAAATGTGTTGGCTACACTTATGAGCTGACACTGAGAGTCAAAGGTAAGCTTTTGTCTAAAATGTATAGCTCCTTCAGTTCTCTATATTGTATCTTTTTTAAGTTGCTTCCCCGCCTTGCGAAAAAAATCATGTTCAGCTGTTGAATAAATTCTATGGAAACCAGGGGAATGGTTTATTGGTGAGGAGAAAAAGAAAATCAAGGGCTATATAGATCTGCCAGAGTTCTCGTTTGGGGAACTGGATGACTTGCAGGTACACAACATACTCCAGTTAAAAAAAAAAACCATTTTGAAAGAGCTTCGAAAAATGTTGTTGAGATTCCTGCTTAGATTCTTGATTGATGCAATGATGCCTCTCACTATCTGTTTTTGCATGGGGGGCACGAATATCCATAGAGGAAGATAAGTGATTTTTTTGTTAGTTCAAAATTTTCTTTGCATGGCATAAAATAAACAGAAATGACTGAATATATGCTGCATTCTATGTACGGGCATATTATTCGTGGAGGTGATAGGCAAGTTTACTTGGGCTGGATTAAGTTCACTACAATTTTTCTTGTTTTTCTTAATAACGTGTTTGGACCTCTAATAGCATCTGAGTGGTTTCAAAATGGTACCGCTGCACAAGTGCCATATACTATGTAAGTCCAGATCACCACAGAAATGCCTGATAACACTACCATTTTTGTGCACCAATATTACCCAATATCTATCTCATCCACATTACCACCACTATCTATTGCTATTTGACTCATCAGAACATCTTCTATCAACGACTGATTATGCTATTGTAACTAAACCTCATTTGCCGCCAATAAATGCCATGACATTCACGGAACCAAGTTGCAAAATTATACTTTGCATACACTACCTAATTTTCTGATTATACTAGTTTTAATTATCTAGAGAGTGGAAAAAGTACCTACACAGAACCTACAAAATGATTAACCCACTCAGATGGTTAACTAATTTAAATTGATTTTTTATAAATAATACATGCATATATTATGTTACTTGAATTGCGGGGTGATTTGGTACGTGGTACTAAGTACGTTGTGTGAGGGGAGTAGGCTTAATTGATATGGTATTTTGGGTCGCAATTCCTTTTAGAATCTTTATCTCATTTTTAGTATTGTACGAAATTATATATAATAGTATCCATAATCACATTCAATTACAATTTTTTACCGTTGCTCTTGATTTCCTACTGTCTAAAATTGTATTTAGTTGTATATTCATACACACAAAGTTAATTAATATTTATTTTATTGTTGCTATATATGTGTTTCCAAAGCAAATCGATTTGGGATTGATATTACGATTTGGGGTCGAATATTTAGGCGATCTGAATTGCGAACCTACACTTTTCAGATTTGAGATCGTTGTACCCAGATCATGGGTTGTCAAGGGTGTAGCGATTTCTAGTAACTATGTGTATATACTCCCCATGTTTGGGCAATGGAATAAAAATGGTTTTGCTTTCATACTAGTGTTTAACTAAGAAGCAAATACACTTCATTTTGGCTAGAGACGTTTGGGACACAAACACGCTAAAATGAGTGTCTGGTATTTTTATTAATTTTTTTTCGGGCACGTTGGGGACACATGACCGACATGACATGCCTAAGACTCGTTAGGGACATGCTGTCGAAACGTTGGGTTCTCGTTTTGATTTTTTTTTTTTTAAATTTGTTTGAGAACTTTTTAGATAATTTTGTAATTAGGAGTTATTTTTGTAATTTTAAGGAAATGTGTCAAAGTCATAATATAAAAAGAGTTATAATCACTACATTGAACATAAGACATGAATGTAACATAATTTTGGATACGAATACAAACTAAATATAAATGGAATAAAATTTTAATATGAATGAAATGTGAGAAAAGATGAGGTTACAAAATTGGAGCTTTTTAAAATGAATAAAAATTGGTATGACAAAGTAGAATATTTTTGAAAATAAAAGTTTGTAGTAGTCATTGATTTTTGGATCATGGATGTTAATCTTGATTGTGTATCAGTATATCTTATATTCTATTTTTTATGTAGTGATATATGGTGTGATTTTTTAGAATTAGGGGAAGGATAAATTAAAATATTATTATGATATTTTTTTTTATTTTAATCACATGATTATATATATATATATATATATTATTTAATGTATCCCCAATGTGTCAGTGTCGTACTTTTAAAAACATTGTGTCGGCATGTCTATGTCGTGTCGTATCTATGCCCGTGCTTCTTTGGTGTATACAAATACATATGTTTCATTCAGCGAATTGTGGTGTGAGTCATTCTCTAATTTATTGGCTCCGTTACTAGTGTATGTCTGTCTGATTTGAGAAAGATAGTGAAGAAAAAAAGAAATGAATCCCAAATCTACTCTCTATCTTGGAAAGATAGAGAAACAACGTGATAGGGGTGTGGAAGTACACATGTATATGTTATGCCATTTTGAATAAGTTTATATATATTTATTGGTTTAAATAGCATCACTCTTGTTAAAAAAAAATAGAACCACTGATTTACAAATTGGGCTTGGTGAATTCTTTGGCCTAAAATTGCGTACCATGATTGTGTCATGCTTTCTTTACAATTATACAAGAGTGGTATATATTTACCGACGATGGCCTTGAGTTCAAGGGCAGAATATCATGGTATGGGCTGTTCAAATTGAAATGCACACAGATATATCCTCGCACATTAAATAGTGGACTTGAATGTAAGGAAAACAAATCAACCATCATTGCTGTTGCCCGCTTAACAAGTATTTTTTTGTGGCATTTGGTACATGATATATATTATGGAGCCATCAGACTACATGCCTCTTGGTCAGACCTATGGTCACTTTTGCCCAATACTGGGTCTTAAGGTTTGAACTCAATCTCAGGCCAACTGAAAAGGAATGGTTTAGCATTTTTTAACATATACTCCAGACTACCTTTTGGTGAATGTATGCCAGTTTGCAAATCTGGATGTGGTCGTACGAATGGTATGTCCAATATGATGCATTGATAGCGAAAGTCTGATCTGTTACTTACGCCAAAATTTTGTCGGAGTATGCTTTTAGAATGAGTGTGGAAGGTTACACCATACTGACCAGATCATTTATCACTTCATTGGCATCCGGGCAATTTGTGTTTATATTATTAGAGTTAACCTGACTTTTCGATGGTCACTATTTATACCTGCTATACCAGAAACTACTTAAACCTTTTAATCACTACAAACTGAATGCATTTATTTATGGGTGACTCAAGATTACTCTCATATTGACCAATACTTTGTTCGTCCTAAATAATTTTGTTAATTCCTTGCAATAAACCACGGCATGGTGTTAATTTGTGCGTCATACATGGTAATTTGATTGCAATCTGAAGTTAATTTGTCTTTTACAATGTAGATTGATGTAAGACTTGGTGAAGAGAAGGATCTTCTGCATCAAGATAAGCTGCGAATCAGCAAGGATTTGAAGCTGTTTTTGCAGCCTCTGTGTGAAAAATTGCGTCAATTCGAACAGGAACTCAAAGAGAGGTAGAAAGAGTTTATGATTATTTCTAGAACTTTAATTGAATGTCGTCAGAATTTTTTAGTAGTGACTGCCTTGTGATACCGTACATTTTGGGGCGCATTTTTATGGACTGAATATTGGAGATGTTGGCGAAAATCTTATGTTTTGAGACCTGTGTTCTTCATTAACATGAAACCAGTGTACTCGGTACTTTTATTTTGTTTGACCCGAGTTGGCTCTGTTGAGAATTGACATGAGTTCTGCTGTGGTTTCCAACCTTTCATGATGATTTGGTTTCACTTGATTAATGTGGAAAGTTTCTGACTCATTGTATCCTCTCTCTGGCTTAGTATGTCTGAACTGTTCTCAGTGTATGGTATTTTGCATTCTTATTTGGTTTTTATTTTATTTTATTTTATCGTAGTTCGCATTTGTACTTGTTGGCAATGTTATACTGGCTTCTGATTTTCATTTCTTATTTTGAATACTGCGGTATCCAAAAAGTGCACTTACTTTTAGGTGCTGTACTTTTTTTTTTTTTTGGGTCTAATAAAAATGTGACACCTGTTATTTTATTTTATATTAGTATTCTGATCAACAGTTATAATTAAATCAAAACAAGATCAATGAGTAGTTTTATTTTTGGTGTGGTACTTAAAATTGATTTTCGGTACCATGTCACTGTACACTAATTTTTGTTCAACGAATTGTAACTCTAGTTTACTGCTTCATAACTTGCAGGGAAGAAGGCAAGTGTTAGCTCAAAAAAAAAAAAAAAAAATTAGTGAAAAGGAATAAGAACCCTTAACATCTATAAGAACAAATAATTAGCAACGATATTTAACAAGATATAAGCCAAAAATACAAAAGAACAGGAAAAGGTAAAACCCAAGCACTGCAAAGAAAAATAATGCAAGTCATCTAATAATACACGTAGTGATAGTAACAGAGAGTTTCTTTTGAAATTCATGTTCTTTCTTGTTGGCATCCACATGTGGTATTAGTCGAAAGAATTTATTTCTTTAATGCCATTCTGTAGTGTGGTAGATCAAGCAGACGTTATAAAAATTATCATACCATTCTGGATGTATGGTAAGAAAGCATGGTCTTAATTATCAATGGGAAGTGCCAGCCCTAACTTTATAATTTTTATAGAAAGTTATAATAGTGCGTGAATGAAAGAAAAATCATTTAATTAAGAGATTTCCATAGATTTGAAAATGTTTTCCCCAAAAAGAAATGTTTGTTTTGAATAAACTCATGTAAAGAGCAACTTGTGAGAGTATTCTACATTACAAATTGTCTAAACATTAACATCGTCCATCTATTTCAATATTACAACATTTTTCTAAGCATGACATAATAACTAAAATAAACTAATTCTGTAACTTTCAAGCTTCAAATTTCGGATCGACATTCTGATCTGCTTCAAGTTTTACCTTTGAAACTGACCTAATTCTATCTTGTTTTTCACACTCAAATCCGAAAAATATAAAAGTATAGGGTGAATACAACTAGCTCAATAGAGAATTTTTTTCCAAGGTTTCAAAGATATAAAAATAGGTCAAGCCACAGTTCAATACACACACACACACATATACATATATATACTAATTGATGCACACGTGCGTTGTACGTGAATTATTTTGGAATTGATATTTTTTAATTTTTAATAAAAAAACCTTTGCTTCGAAAATGACTGAACTAAACATAGATCAGTATTGCAGGGTTCAAAATAAGTGGGTTAAGCCTTGAATATTCATGCCATTTTCCTTATAAAAAGAAACATCTCATTTCATTACATAATTTTGTTATAATTTTTTGCTTACTAAACGCAGACACAATCTAGGGCATTTCTCAAATCTCCCATCAATTTCTAGAAATGTTGGAATTGTGCGCTTAAACGATATCATGGAACTTCTTGCCTTTCTTCACCCTTTTTAGCCTTTTGCAAAACACCTCCCATCGTCAATCAATGCATCAGAGCAATGTCATATTCAAGTGCTGGCCAAAAAAAGAACATAGGAGCGACTAATAAGAAATTAAGAAAAAATAAGGAATGAATACGAGCAACTAATAGAAGCATAGTGTGTTGAGTAGAGGAGAATCAACAAGTAGTTGCCTTTTTGACACAGAATATATAAATACAAGTGGACACAAACATAAAATGCAAATGATATGATTCTTTTATCTAGAGTACAAACTATCGAGATACTAATTACAACCAATGGAGGATAGATATATGACCCAACTTCGTTTCCAAGATAAGCACCGAAATGCAACACAAAGGCAAAAATAGGAAGTTAAAACTGTGAATTTATTGCACCATTAGGGAAAACGGCAGCCATGATATGGAACATAACGAAAAACTCGAAGGGTTATAAGAGTATATGCTCACAGTAGCATATGCTTAAAGTTGTGCCATCACTATAGTGATACTATGACAATGTTTCAAAGTAGTTTAGTACTGGAGATAATAGTTTAGGCATTTGGGGCAAAGATAAAATCTCTGGGAGAGACAGATCCAGGATAGAGGAATTGAAAAAATAATTCTCTTTTCTTATTTAGCTTATATGGGTTTACCATCGTATTCATCTTCCTTGAATTTTGATAGCCACTATTACCAATTATTAGATCATGTATAAAAAAAAAAAAAGTTGCTATTGGGGACTTTCTTGGGGATGGAAACCAAGAATATTCAATCTCATATCATCTCAACTTTAAGAAACATTATCGACAAATAGAAAGATGCATTTGTCTAAGTTTCTCTGTCCTTCAGTCGTCATCCAATTTATCAAATAAAAAGAGTTTGTAATCATGGCCAGGAAGATTTTAAAAATTTGGCCAGGCTTAGACCTATTTCAGTTATAAATCAACAATGGGATGGAGCCAGCATGCAAATGATTTCCAAGTTTTTGGATGATAACATGTCAATGTTTCACAAACACATTACATACAGAGTGGTACCTCACATAAACGCAGCCAAGTTTCAACTGGGTTCTTTCTTTTGTTTTTTTTTTCGGAGGCAAGGAGAAAGTTATATAAGTAGAGTTTCGGTCCATACGAGGACTAACAACTTTTAGAAGTAAGGAAACAAAGTTTACCAATCCTTACAACATTGATATCTTGCAGCTTTCGAGGTTTTACATTAGTGATGTCGATTCTTTAAGAACGGTTGGGTATGTTTCCACTATGCTATAGATTGAGAATTATAAAAACCTTTTTGTTAACATGAAACTAAAAATTTCAACATATGAAAATAGAGCACAATATTCGCCCTACTTGGATGTAATCCATCCTTCTCAAGTTATGCAGTGACTTTACTCTATTTAAATTTGAATAACCAAAATGTCAATAGCAAGCCATCCCTTAATAAAGTTAGAGAACTTCGAGCATTGAATGAATGGCGGCCAAACAAATATTTTGATACTAACGTAACTAAATATCGTTCTTGTTTAAATTCCAAAGACCTTTTACAAGGGCATCATCATAGAATTTGCAATAACACCATCCCTTCTTTTACATTGAAACCTAAAACTGTAGATAAGAAACATATTCTATTAAAAAATAAGGGTGTCTATCTTCAAAAAAGTTATTTATGCAATCAATAAGAAACAAATGGATTAATTATGCTGCAATGATGTTTGGCCCAACAATTGTGCACCAAAATATTTAGGAACTTCACATTTGCAAGTTGTGTAAAGAATATAGAGAATACATACCATAAATGAATGCACTGCTGAAAAGCCAACAATAACAGTCTCAAAAGTTCTCAATCCACCGCCCAAAGAATAGAACTTTGACCCTACTATTCATTTTATTAATTCGGAGGCCTAAGGCATGCCTCAGAATCTATAGGACAATTCCCTGCAAGTGTCATCCATTTCAATAACTGCCATCAAGTTAAGCGAACGTTGACAAGTGAACATTACTTGATTTATGAAGTATGTATCCCATATTAGCAACATTGAGTCTATTCAAAACTAAAGATCATGTCTTCCAAAGTTTCATTAACTTTTCCATATATATGGCATGAGGCAGCTTTGAGCATTTCCCGTAGTATTAAATTTTCTTTTGTCGGCAAAGAATTCCTACAGACAAGTATAAACTTAAGAGGTGTGTTGAGATTCCAGATAAAAAGCCATTATTTTGTGATGTTGAGTGGAAGGCTTTTGTGTTTCTCTTTGATCTTTTTGGCATTGGCTTTTAACAAAAACAAAAAACAAACGAAACTACGTTATGTTGAATATAAAATGTTCACATATGAAATGTTTTTGTGATGCTGAGTAGAAGGTTTTTGTGTTTCTCTTTGCTCTTCTTGGCATTGACTTTTAGCAATAACAAAAAGCAAACGGAACTACATTATCTTGAATAACAAATGTTCACACATGAAATCCACAGAGATCTTGACATTGCTTCTAGAACATATGGACGAACTATCAAAATCATGTAATCCAATAGTTGACAACATATATTCAAAATAATTATGAACTATAAGGATGATATATGCTGTTAACACCCAATATGAAAGCTATTTAAACAACTATCAATGGAACGATTGGTGCGAAAGCATTCAAAATGAATAAACAATCATAGTGAGTAGCCTACAATACATCTGTGTGTGTTTGTGAAAAATGATGAAATAATAGATCGACAAGCCTACCTTGAGACGACTCAACAACTAGCCTTTGTTTAATAGTATCAACAATAGTAGAAGTTCAACATGCTCCTGTACTTCAGCAATAATTGTACTTTCTCACCTCCACCAAGTTTAAAAACCAATCCAGTCCCAGAACGTCTCCCAATTAACCCCCCCCAAAAAAAAAAAAAAAGAACCCCAAGGTTCAAAATCAAACCAAGATTGTCCTTTACCTCTGCATGGAGTGAAGAGATATAAATAGAAATTCAATATCCTATGGTTGATCTATCATTGAGTTCATAGTAAAAGATATTATCTACTTAACGAAGTCCTCTATGAAGAATGTTTGTTTCCAAGTGCAAACAGATTTTTAGAAACTTTCTTTTGA